CCCACTAGGCTCAAGGGTGACCCCGGTGAACCTGGCCTCCACACTCTCGGCATCTTGTTGGCCCGCCCGCCCGGGTAGACTATGCTCCTGGTGGCTAGAACCGTCCCCACACTCACCCTCAAGCATCCTAACAATACTAGAACGCTCTTTTTACGTTTACGTCGGTTTCATGACCAGTAATCCCCACAACCGCTTGATCACCAAGACACTTCAAAAGGGGAAGTTGTTTGTTTTCCCTAAAGGCCTCATTCAGTTTCAGCAAAATGTGGGCTATAAGAACGCTGTCGCCATTGGGGCCTTGAGCAACCAGAATCCAGAGGTGATCACTATTGCTAATGCCGTTTTTGGATTGAACCTGGTCATCAGCAATGTCTTGGCTAAGGCTTTTCAAGTTGATAGAAAGGTGGTGAACCAACTCCAATCCCAGTTCTGGATGGATAACAATTAGGAATTCCTTGTCCCCCCAATTGCATACTATTTGTATTTGAAGATGATACAAATAAATGTGTTTTAATAAAATGGCTTGAATAAAGCGAATTTTTACCTCAAATATATACTCTAGCCTTTTTACTTGATAGAATATTATTTTGGTGTAGCTTTTTAGGATTAATGAGAATTTTCAAAGTGCCAGATAAAGCATGGCTTCAACGACATACTTTATTTTCCTTCCAAACATACCCCAAACCCCCACAAAAATCGAATAATATAAATTTTAAGGGATTGTCTATAAAGAGACCATTTATCTTTTCTATATGAAGGTCACAATCATTCTCACTCATTAGATGTCAAATTGGATGGCTTCGGGTGAATTACAAAATCCACGACAATTTTTTTTTTTTTAACTTTGCGTCTATCCAATGACACTCTTACAGCTACTTATCTTGAAATTTAAGGGACAAGAATGATTGTGACCTCCATGTATAAAATATATATGTTCTCTTTATACACAATTCCAAATTTTAATGGCAATGAGTTTTATCATTGATTTAGCTGCATTTCTAGCTTTTTAAATATGTTTAGTTGAAACCATTGCAATCTCGTCCGTCCATCATCAATCCCGACAACAGTGAAGATGTACTTTTCAACCCATGAGAAGAAAATTATAGGGGAACTATTCATCTCCGCCATCAGTTATTAAGAATGGGCTATAGAAGTTACATGTCAACATCAAAGTCTTTTCTCAACTTATTGGGATCAGCTACACGAATCCTAGTTCGCCATATGTTCCAGATTCATGATAAGTTTTTGACAAAGTTTTACGATGGTTGGCTACCTAACACATGTTAGTATTTTTTGTTTGAAAAATGCTTAAGTGTATTTCAAAACAACTTTGGTTTTATTGAAGAGGAGAGAGTTTGTAGAGAGAAAAAGACATGGGTTTGAGTCCCACATTGAAGAGGAGAGAGTTTGTTGAGATGTATTTAAAAGCACACATTCCCATACAATCTATTCTAAGTACAAATGAGAGAGAATATGCATGTGCAGAGCACGCAAAGCATTGTGGCACATGTGTGTGTGTGCAAGGGCATGAGTGCAAGGGCACTTGACAGGGTTGCACTTCGCACGCTTGCATTGGCACATGAGGCGCCTGAGCACGTGTGTGGGTCGAGCTCGTGGCTCATTATCTTTTTGTGAGCCCGAGTCATTTGAATGGTGATCCTTTTGTATCCTATACACATGGGTGTGGGAGGGTCTCATAGGATGATTCCTCTTTTTTTGACCCAATATATGTTTTGAAACTTTGAATTTATTGAGGGGAAATGACCTTGTGAGACCCTCCCTCACCCATGTGTGTAGACCTCAAATGATCACCATTAATTTGACACAGTTCTCTAGAAAAATCAAATCTCACACCTATGTGATAACTGTTTAGACATTTGTGCCAAATTTAATGGTGATCATTTAGGTTCCTATATACATGGATGTGAGAATGTGTCATAGGATTGTTACTTTTATTGAGATATAAAACTTAAAAATAGGGGGCATCGAGATATTTTCTTTAAAATCAAGTGGATCTATAAATAGACAAAAATCTTGAAAATTGACAGTCTAGATAATGTGTTGCACGATGCTCTATTACTAAGACTCATAATCTTGTCTTTTTCGTATTCATACATCTTGATGTTGATATGATCTATTAAAAGTTTTTTCAACGTTAAAACAACATTTTTTGGTGGAATTTTTAGGTGCATCTATAATTCTACATTTTAAAGTAGCAACTTTATATAAAGGGAAAAGTTTATATAAGGTTGCAACCTTAAAATATAGAACTACAGATGCACCTCAAAAATCCATCAGTAAAAGTTATTTTAATTTTGAAAAGCCCTCCAATTGATCATCTTGACATCGAGATGTATAATTATGAAAAAAAAGGATTTTGAGTCTTAGAAATAGTGCATCTTATAACACATTATCTAAACCGTCCGTTTTCAAAATTTTGACACGTTTGTAAATATACTTGATTTTTACCATTTTTTTAGTTTAAAATTTTATAAGTATAATTGAAAATAGATTTTGAGATAATCTTAAGAATATTTTGTGTCAAAGTTATATGTTATGATAAAACTTGAAGGTGCATCTTAAATGGATTATTTAAGGTTGCAACCTTATTAAAACCACACCCTTATATAAATGTTTTCTTTTAATTTTTGGGTCGGGTACGATTGAGTTCGTTCCAATCCGTCGGATCCGAGTTTGAGTCCCACAACTTTTATGGGCCCATCCTGGACCCCGACCCGACCCTTTGCCCACTCTATCCCTATGGTCCGCCACTTTAGTCGTAAAGGGTAGAAAACATAAGTTCCGGCTTTCCTCGGTTTTACTGTTACAACTGTACTACACAGGGAAGTTAGATCCTTCGTTTTCTGGATAACTTTGTATGGAGATGCGTTTGATAACTTCGTATGAGATTTCCCCTGAAAATCTCTGTTTGCCGAATTTCTTGAAATTTGAGAAGAGAGTGAAATTAGTAGCTTGAAAGTTGAAAACCTTGTTCGAAAAATAGAGATATCGGTATTTTCATATGTTTGATGACCGGAAAGCTAGATACTCGATATCTTAGCCGCTCATTATGTATGTCATTGACCCGACCCAGGATCCGAGGGACAGACCTAATCTAGGTTTAAGTATGAGTTAAAAAATTAAATCCGACGGGTCGGGTCTGGGTCCAAGTCCAAATCTTGGACTCAAACATTATTTGGGTCTGGGTCCCGGTCCGATTGGGTTCGGGTCTAAATCCGAGTTCGAGTTCCAATATATAAAATACATTTAAATATAATTAAATATATAGATATTTTAATTTCAGAGTTTGTTGAACTCGAGTTAACTCAGTCCGGGGTCTATGTTCGTGTCAGGTGCCACTCACTGCAAATCAGAGATGCGAAGGGGATGTATCAAGTGAAATGAGCGTAAATATTTCAAGAATAAACCCCTCCAGGTCGGTCGCACTTTCAATTGCGGGACCAATCTTACAATCTCGTCCCGCGAGACGTCTTCCAACGGTCGATTAAACACGAAGCCTCCCCCGCTGTTGCCCCCTCTCCCTGTTTATTTTCTTGCGAAGAGGAGTGAGGTTTTAATTATCAGCTGCCATTTTTCTCTCCCAGAAGAAGAGATCACAAAAAGGCATGCCTCTCTCTTTGTCTCTCTCTCCTTCTCTTATCTCTTCCCCCCCTCTCTCTCTATCTATCAATTTTTTGCATTTGGAAACCCACTTAGTGAATTTGCGCTCATTTTTTAAAAATATGAAGCACTGCCATTTTGTTTCTGATAATGAAAAGTGTCCACTACATTGGGATTTATTTATTTATTTTTTGTTCCCTTACATCTATGAAGCACTACATTTGTTTTGGGCTATTTTATGTTGAAATATTACTGGTAAAGTGTATCAGGGAGTTTCTCTTTTCATCTGTACTGGTAAAATTGTATTTGAGTTTGTGTTGGTGCAGGCATCATATAACTCTTTTAGACTGAAAAAATTCATATTTCTTAGTAATATCTCCTCGTTTTTGTTACCTCCGTTTTTTTTATCTACCCAAGAAGGTTGCAAACGATTGGAGATACAGGTAGCATATTTTTCATGAAGAGATCCGCACCAGTCAACAATTTATTTTTATTTTTCAAAAATTAAGAAGAAACTTTTTGGTTTTTTGATAATATTACGGTTTCTATAGATATCATTAATTGATGTAATCACCTTTATACGTGGAAGCAACGAGGGATAGGAATAACGTTGACATAAAAAGGGAATAAACAAATAGTGGGAAGCCAGACAGGGATTTTAGATTATTTTAGGTAAATGAGAAACATTTGTTAGGGGCTGTTTTTTTTTTTCAAAAATATGTTAAATTATTAGGGGTTAAAAGTAAATTGATATTTGAATTTTTTTCTTGTTACATCTGTGTTATGAGGTTTAGGTTTTCGGCAACAATCTGATATAGCTGGTTTATAAACATTTGCAGTGACGAAAATGGGTATCTCATTTCTTAGGAGTTTTGTATTGATATTCGTGAATAACTTATGCATCTATGTATATTAACACCGTGGATTTACTTATTTTATTGGTATTTAGTGTTATTTTGGTTATTTGGGTCTATTGAATTGTAGTCCCCTATTGAGAGAAAACTAAATTGAGTTTGGTTGAATGCAAAAGAGAAAGGTAAGAAAGATATTTTGTTACTACAAGCCTATAATAACCCTTTGGAACTTAGCCTTATACTGTATATCATGGTGAATGTGATTTAGATTGATATACCCTTAGTGTTAATGCTCCTTTATATGTTGGCCTAATATCAAAATGGAGCTCTCGAACACTTGCCTTTACAGCAGCTTATCTTGCTAGCAACAGACGCTCTTTATTTTTTTGCACATGCTCTGTGAGAAGTTTGATATTCTTGTGTTTTGTATTAATTTGTAATTGTCAGTTTATGGAAGTTGGATTTAATTATTTCATAATACTTTTATTTATCTTTGTGCTTGTAATGCCTTCTCCTTGGACAGTTTCTTGGGGAACATTCAGAGCCAAGTAATCACAGGCGGGAAATAAAGAGCGAGAAATGTGAGACTATGATTGCCCATGGAAACCTTTAGGAGAGTTCCAAACTTACAAGGGTATTGAATAAGAAGTAACTGAAGGTATGGCAAATTGGTGTATCGTACATACAATCGACTTTAAGAGAGGGAGGGAAAAGTAAAATCTGAGATACATAATAGAGGAAGAAGTGGTGAGAAAGAATAGAGACAAAGAAGAAAGGAATAGCAATGAAGAGATAGAAGTGGAGGGAAGAGAGTATAGAACAAAGAGTCTATGGAAAACAAACCACAGAGCTAGAAAGATGGAGAAAAGTAGGAAGAGTTTTTTTTTCCCTGCTAGGCAAGAAGGGTTTTGTGTGGGTAACTCACCAGTTGAATTAATATGGAGGAATTTTACAAGGGGTCAGATAGATTTTGTCTGATGTAATATTACAAAGGACCTTGCTACAAGTATCTATCTGTCTTTCTTTATGCATTTAAACCACATTGTATATGCTCTATCACACACAAGGTCAAGTTGGAAGTTTGTAAACCCCATCTTTCAAATGTCAAAATTTTCTTTTGTCTGAGGGCCAAGAAATGATAGAAAGTGGAAGGAAGAGTGGACGGAGCAGTGAGAGAATCCAGGAAAACAAACCACAAAACAAGAGGGAAAGATCCATAGAGGGATAACCAAAGCGATAGAGTGAAAGAACAAGACAATGTCTACTTCGAGTGTGGCGGTTTTGGATAATGGTGGCGGCTATTGCAAGGCTGGCATCGGCGGGGACCGTGACCCCATTGCAGTCGTTCCCAACTGTGTGGGGCGCTCCCCTGCACAAGCATCATCGGGTTCTAAGAAGAAGGAATGGATGGTGGCAGACCAGCTCCTCCACCCTGACAATGACCCTACGTCTGTGACGCTGCGCCGCCCCATGGACCGGGGCTACCTTGTCAACCCTGACCTCCAACGTGACATATGGGACCGCATTTTTTCTTCCCTCCTCAAAATCCAGCCCTCCTCAACCTCCCTCCTCCTTGTAGAGCCCCTCTTCAACCTCCCTAGCATCCAACGCTTCACTGATGAGCTAGTCTTTGAAGAGTTTGGCTTCAGTTCACTTTGTGTTGCAGACCCACCGTCACTAGTGCACTTGTATGAGACAAGCCGCTGCCCCAAGAGCCTGATGGCGGCGGCTCAATGCAGCCTGGTTGTTGATTGCGGATTCTCGTTCATGCATGCTGCCCCCGTGGTGCAGAACTTCACACTGAACCACGCAGTGAAGAGGGTTGGGCTCGGGGGTAAGGCCCTCACCAACTACTTGAAGCAGTTGGTGTCGTATAGGTCGGTGAACTTGATGGATGAGACCGTCATTATGGACCATGTCAAGGAGAACCTCTGCTTTGTCTCCCTTGACCTCCAACGAGACCTCCAGATTGCAAGGTCCCCCCCATCTCTCACACTTGTGACCTAATCATAAGCATTATCATCATCTTATTATTATCAGGATATCTATAATGCGTGCTTTCTTTCTTTTCAAGATACATGGATTCCATTCAATAATTCTCTAATGCCATTTTTGTTTTTTATACATGAGATTCAATTCAATAATGCTTTAGTTTTGGGTTCAATTAAATAATGCTTCAATGCTTCCCCCCCCTCGTCCCCTTTTTTAGATGCATGGGGTTCAAGTCAGTAACATTTTGACTGTTTGACATATTGTGGTTGGATTCCAGCTACTGGGTGATGGAAGGTATATATAATACTTTTCTTGCCCAAATACTGGTGTTCGACCAAGTTTCTTGGTCCTAAATTAGTGCTCCCCATACCATTTCAATACTTGGATGTGTTTGCGTAGGAATGTAAAATGAGTCCTAATTAACTTGAAAGACAGGTTTAATTCCGTATTATGTGCGAATTCCAAAAGTAACTTAAGGGGGGCAATATAGGTTATGAATGCACAAAAGCTCTATATAACTAACTGTGGCTTAACATGGTGAAAAGACACAAGTAGAGGGTTCAATAAAGACACCCAATTGTTTCTCAGGTAGCCTAGAACATGATGGGTATACACTGTTATTGGAAAATTGGGATTGCAACAGTGTGTTTGTGCTTCTTGATTGATCCATTTTGCATGCCATAGATTAGGCAATCAGTGCTGCCATGAAAAGGAATTATGTTGAAATTTAATTAATGTCAAACAGAAGTCACTATTTCAATGTCACTCTTCCAATGCAGTTGGTTTTGTCTTAGACTGACACCATTTATGGGCTCAGTTGTAGAGTGCACTGAAGATGGTTCCCTCCCAATGTCCGTGGTTGAATGATTTCCCCCTGGAGTATCTGAAACTACTCCAATTGTGATAGACGTTTAAACACTTGATGAACTGTACTACTCTTTAACTATGAGCTTTTAACTATCTGCATTTATATTAAGTTAACTTCCTCCAAAAAAAAAAAAAAACTCTGCATTTTTATTTTAGCAGTGTTGTAAATCAAAGATGCCCCATATATTTTATAACATCATTATCTAAACGCTTCAGGCTTACAAACCTCCTGCGAGTGGCATCCAATCCACATTACTTTCTTGTGATTTGCGTATGCAAGCGGTTGGCTGTGAGAAACTGTATTTCTGTATATTTGGGCCTTAAGCCCCCATGGAAGATGTATTTCTGAGCTTATCGAAGATGTGAACAAGAGCGCCAATTTATAGGGTTACAAAACTGTGTACTATTAAAGAAAGTAATATATACAATGAACCACCTTCCTAATATGGGTACACATAAAAGGAAGAAAAATATTGTACCCAAAATAAGTGTAGGTTTCTATAATTTCTACACTCCTTCCCAAGCTCAAGATGTGTTAAGAGAGAGCAACTTGAGTTTGGACAACTGAAGGCAAGCCTTAGAAACAAAGCAGGAACAAAAAAAGCTTAAGCAGCTGCAAATTAGCGATCCTCAGAAACCGACTCCTCGAACAGAGCACTCGCATTACAGCAAATCAACAGGCCTCTAGAACAAACAGGATTGAGTAACGAAAAAAAACTCGATTATCACACAGGATGGAGTAATGAAAAACTCTACCATCAATAGGATTGAGTAACGGAAAACTCAATCATTAAACATGATCGAGTAACAAAAAAATCTATCATCAACTAGGATTGAGAAATTCGATCATCAAACAGGAGGCACTTGGAAGAGCCAACAGAAATCAGCGTGGATCAACATGCACAGTTGGACCTTAGATTTGGAGTTGAGAACAGTAAGAACCAAAATAGATCAGAGAGTTGAAACACGGCTTGGTAGAGAGACAAATCAGATAGTCGAAACACGACTCGGTGTCAAAACAAAGCAAGACGAAGAGAGAGAGGTGCCAAAACAAGAAAAAAAAAACAAAACAAGATCTAGAGAGAGAGTAGCCAAAATAAGACAAAAGCAAAAATGAAAACCTAGAGAGAGATGGCTAGATGCAAGAGATGGGAAAAAAAAGAAAAGATATTGATGCAAGAAGCGAGATATAAGATAAGAAAAAGTATTGATGCAAGAGATGAAAAAAAAATGCAGGAAACAATACAGATTTGAAAATACTGTGGAGGAGCTTTTGCTAAAGAATGGAAAAAGAACGCGTACTTATCTTGAGTGACCAGATTTGTGTGAGATTGCAGATTCCAGAAAACTATTTATGGCGGAGTTACAAAAATTGATCGTAGAGAACCTGGCTCTGATACCATGTGAGAAACTGTATTTTTGTATATTTGGGCCTTATGCCCCCATGGAAGATGTATATCAGAGTTTATCGAAGATGTGAATAAGAGCTCCAATTTATAAGGTTACAAAACTACGCACTACTAAAGAAAGTAACATATGCAATGAACTACCTTCCTAATATGGGTACACATAAAATGAAGGAAAATATTATACCAAAAAATAAGTGCAGGTTTCTATAATTTCTACATTGGCTTTGACATTCTTTTAGGAAACTAAATGATATTGCATGTGTCCTACATAAGTCTTTAACGCATGTGGAATGCCACATTGGGTAAGGGCTGTAGATGCAAAATTTCATTACTTGGATGAGAAGAACTCTAAAAATTTAAATACAAAAATGGGTGATTGAAATCCGGACAAAAAAATTCACTTTCTTCCATTGGAAGGAGTGCTTATTGTTGTATGTGTGGATAGCTTGATGTTAGTCACTTGTTTCCGACATTATAATAGACATCATTATGGCTTGATGTATGGCTAGCCACAAAGCACAATTTCTCTCACCTATGAACAACAATGAAGACTTTTGTGATGTTACTTTTGGTTTTGTCATCCACCGCAAGTAAACATGTGACTTCTTTTCTGTTACGTCATGCGTGTGTTGGGGATCATGGAATTATTTCAATACGCATTGTGGCTAGTACCGGTTGGGAAAAGGCTTTGATAATGACGAGGATTGTGGTTAGCACCTAATGGCTTCTTGTTGGGACAGGTGCATAGAAGCAAAGCCATGCGAACAAGATGAGGAAAATCAAGCTTGAGAGCTTAACTCTCTCTCTCTCTCTCTCTCTCTCTTTCTCTCTCTCTTCCTAGTTTAGCAAGGAGATGCTTAATGGATTAGGATGGGGAATAAGCTATGTTACTAACTTTTGTTGTCTCGGTGATGCCACACCTAGAAATGGTACTGATTTTTTAGAGTCATGGAGAGACGTGGCCACGTGAAAGACTTCTGGGATTTCTGATTTTGGAGGCTTGTTTACTTGATCACTGTGAGGGCCCCAAGAATGCTTGTGTGAGTCTTTTGAAGAAAGAAGCATTGTTTTTACCATCTGTCTTGTTTGTTTGATGGATATCTCTCTGCATGGTTGCCAATTTATACTATCTTAATTATATCAAATATAATAAATTAGTTGTATGAGAAAGCTTATAAAAAGCAAATTATAACTGGTACGGATTCTAGAAACCTCGTGTGCCATGGGGTATATCTTACTCAGTATTGAATGATATCTATCTTACAATTGCCTGTAATTAGCTTCGAATATGGTGATGTTTCTGCCATAATTTAAACTAAAATAGCTCTAGGAGGAAGAGGTAAAATGTAACAAACACATCTTTCCTCATAAGAGTGTTAATGGCTCGTCATCAACTTTTTAGGACACGAAAATTGAATTAGTAGGATAATTTTCACTCTCGCTGTGGAGTCTCAATGTTAGACATTTTGGATGACAGAAACTGTCCTGCTCTGGGAACTCTTGAGTTCCCTTCAGAAATGCATTTGAGTGAAAGTTTATAGTTCCCCAAAAACAATTGCCGCATTTGCATTGCAAGGTTGGGACCAAAGATCAACAAGAGGACCAAGAAGTTACACTGCTGCTTTTCCAAGCCATTCCTTCGTGAAGGGATGGGGAACATGTTCCCAACCATCCACATGAACAATCAACATGAGTTTATTTTATTTTACTTTATTTTTTCATAAGTTAAATAGTCAACATTGTTGGGATGTCCATGATCGAGAGTGATCTTTCTTTTTTTTCTTTTTGGTTTTTTTTTGTTTTTTTTTTGGGGGGGGGGGGGGGTCTAGTACCACTCTTAAATTCATACATCTGTCATGTTGGGTGGTATTATTATTCATTCTTTTAGTCTTTATTTGTTCATTCTTTCTATCTTGTCCATAGGGCATTAGGTCCTTTCTTGATCTTTTTATTGGGCATCTACCTAAAGGGAACTTAGTCTTTTTTTTTTGTATGTGTGTGTGTGTGTATAAAAGAATGTTTTGTTTATCGAACTTTACATATTTGACCTGTTGCCATTATTGAAAGAAGTGGATGTGTGGATTTCTAAGATATGTAATAAAAACTTTTCCTCTTTTTTCTTTATTATATAAAACTGAATTCCACTTACAGGTGTCATATCAAATGCTGCAAATATGAAAAATAACCCTAAATACAACTTAAGATATTTCCTTTTACAACTAAATAAATATTATTTAATTCAAGGGCAGAATACAAACTTTAACTATGCATTCTAGGACAATTAGTGTTCCTGGAATTTGCAATAAATTAAGTAATAATCACTGAATAATCGAAGGACAATCATGAAGATTTACTCGACTTAACCTCGGGTCAATCCTTAAGGACTTGATAAACCGCTCAATTACTTGATCGATGGTGCACTTTGATCCTATTGGCCAGCTGAATTCTCTAAGTTGGGAAGCTCCTTAGGCAATACCCTTTCATATATGGGTTTTAGAGAGTATAGGGCATGCCATAGGCACCTCCCTTTTTTCTTCTAAGGCTGCGTGTGCCTCCCTCTATGAGCCTTAGGTGTTGCGTACCACCCCCTTGGGGTTTCTAGGGTGGTGTGTGCCACCTCCTTTAGAGAGAGACTAGAGATGAGAGAGAGAGAGGCATGGAGGAGAGAGGAGAGAGGCTTAGAAGTCTAGTGGTGGAAATGAGGGGAG